CTTTCGCACGATACACAGCAGGTTATTTGAATAGTCATTTGCCGTTTTTGTGCCAATTGCGTCACTCATTTATGTTGTAATGTTGTGTTACTTTCTTGTTGCGTGACCCTCTCTCTGCGGTAGTACTTTGTCACTTCAGAAAATATAATTCTTAAGCTGACTGTAGCATACAAGTAGATGCCAGGAGCTTAGGGCGCGAAGGCATGAAACGAACTAAGTATGAATGAAGATGGAAATAGTTAGTTAAAACGCTTCGGTCCATTAAGGTCTTAGCTCAACACCACGACTGTACCTCGTCTGTATGACGGTCGTGGTGTTCAGAGCGGAGAAAAGAGAAAGAAACAAAGAGAATACAAGAAAAGGAAGGGTTTCTTATTACTATATTAAATTTGAAATTGTTGAAAAAGGGTAAAAAAATTGTATGGGACAGCTTGAAAACGGCTTTCACCTCACGCTTCATCCGATCCATGACCACGGGGTTTGAGACTTTTTGCACCACTGCCCAGTGCCAGTTCGAGCGACAGCATCATCGTTTGCGATCTAGCCGATCAATTAGACACAATCTATCACTGTTCATGTATTACGTTTCAGAACTGGGAGATTCCCCGAAATCAGCTTCAGCTGAAAAGGAAGTTAGGCGATGGCAACTTTGGAGATGTGTGGTATGGGAAGTGGCGAGGTATGGTTGAAGTTGCAATAAAAACAATGAAGCCGGGAACAATGTCTCCCGAAGCGTTCCTCGGGTAATGCATCAGCTGAAAATTTTAATCCCAGTGATTTTTGCAATTTTTTTTTGGTAAGCTTACTGATGCTTGGATGGCTGCACTTCACTGCTTACGGTTTCTTAAGCTTTGGTTTTTAACTGAGTGGGAAGGGTCTTAAATGAGCATAAGTTTCAGTTATACTTTTTATTATGCATTTTGTGCTGTGTAACAGCAGTACAAAACTCATATTGTCATGGGGTTGTCTGTGTGTGTGTGTGTGTTTGTGTGTGTCTCTCACACTTTGTCCCGCACTTTTAACTCGGGAACCACAAAAACTTGAAATTTTAGTGTAACGTCCCCCGCCAAGGTGTGACGTGGCAAATTTAAATTCAGCCTTCCTGTACCCGCGGGTAACACGTACGGCTCCCGTAAAAGTTTTTCGGGTAAAATCAGTATCTCAGAAACCAAGGGAACTAGAAGGCTGAAATTTGGTGGGCATGTCCCCTTCCCGTGTGCTACCCAGAAATCTAAATTCAGCTTTCTCCTGCCCACGGGTAACATGTACGGCCCCGTGAATATTTCTGACGGGTAAATTATTATCTCGGGACCACGGAGTTTAGGAAGCTGAAATTTTAGGGTTGTGACCCCTGCCCACAAACGATCTTGCAAATCCAACGTTACCCGCGCTGTTGGGTATCACCTACGGCCCCGTAAAATTTTTGCGGGTAAATTATTATCTCGGGAACCACAGTATGTAGGACGCTGAATTTTTAAGGTAGTGACCCCTTGCCTACGTATGACCTTGCAAGTTCAAATTCAACGTTCCCGCACTCTCTGGTATCATTCACGGTCTCGTGAAAGCTTTGGCGGGTAAACTGTTATCTCGGGAATCACGGGAAGATATTCACCTTTCAAGATTTCAAATACAACTTTCATGTGTTGCTGCGTGGAATTTTTAACTATTTTTCAACGTTTGAACTATTTTTACATAGAATAAAG